CCCCCCCCCTGCGTGGGGTATCTTCCCACAGACATGATCAGCATGATCGAGCTCGACTTCACGCCCGGCGCCTGCTGCTTCGCCTTCCAGCCGGGTGACGCAGTCACCACACTCCTGGTGTACGTTCATCCCGGCCCCTTGCGATGGTTCCCCACCACCGTGCCACTCTCTGACAGCTTGGGCCTCCTCCTTGCCATGTCCAGCTCGAGTCTCGATTCGCGTGACATCCATGTGTTTGACGCCCGTGGCGGGTCGTCGGTTCCCCTGCGGACTTTCAAGATTCACCGGAGCCCGACACACCTCATGAAGGTGCGCCAGCCATTTGCGCCTCCCTCGGCTGCTCTTCTCCACGCCCTCCCCGTCCACCGACACCATGTGCTCATGCTTCTTCCTGTTGTCTTGTTCGACCCGGCGGCTTAGTTCGACCCTGTGCACAATCTCGTGGTGAGCGCCGACCGTCGGGGTCATTTCGAAATTTGGGACCCCATCACCGGCGACATGCCGGAAGATGGCCCCCTTACCTTCCAATCGAAGCTGGACACCGACCTCTTCGCCCTGGTCACGGCCGGCACCACTCCGACGTCCATCAGCATTTCCCCCCATGGCAAGGTACAGCCCAGGGCCTTGCCATGCTCTTGTCACTCGTGCCGGACACACCCACACCCGCCCCCACACACTGACCCTTCCTCCGATTGGTTTGCCATAGCTTTTCGCCACTCTGAGTCTGGACCGTGTGGTTCGTGTGTTTGAGCTCCTTTCCGGCAAGATGATCCGCAGTTACGACGAATCGCTACGTGTTATCGAGGAGATGCAGCAGGTCCGTCCATTCGTCGTGCCCCCCCCCCCCCCCCCCCCCCCCCCCCCCCCCCCCCCCCCCTCCCCCCCCCCCCCCCCTCCCCCCCCCCCCCCCCCCCCCCCGGTCTCTCCCCGCCCATGTGTCACCCCGCCTCTCCCTGCCGCCCCCTGCCGCCCCCCATGGCTCCTTCGGCTTTTCCGTGTCTCCCCTTCTCTCTGCTACATTTCCTGCCCCCGCCCCCCGGCCACCAGTCTAACCTCGTTCGGGTCCCCCGCGAATGCCCAGGTTCCTCGTGCAGCCCGGAGACAAGGTTCAAGTTGGCCAGCTGCTCGGATACCATGCCGATCAGACGCTCCCGGCCGCCGCGGCACCCGCCCTCAAGCGCCCGAGCGCCCCTTCTCTTTCTTTCGATTAGACGTCACATGCCAAATATACGACACGCGACATGTTCCCTGATCACGCGCAGCGAGATACACATCCATGGGCACCTATCCGTGCATCGTGCGCTTGTGTGTGTGTGCGCGCGCGCGCGCGCGTTTGTATTCCCGCGCGCTGGTGCGGCTCTGCCTGTTCGTGTGCGCGCACGGCCCCGGGCCGTCCGCCTGACTGGTCCTGGTCTTTGCTAGGGGGTCCAGGATTGCGGGGGATGTGCGTTGGGGACCGGTGGGCGAGGCGCATGCTCGTTGGATGCTCCCGGCAAGAGGGCCTTGATTGGTGTATGTGCTTGTGCTTGTGCTTGTGTGTGTGTGTGGGGGGGGGAGGGAGGGGGAGGGGGAGGCGGTGCAACGGGTGCCCCTCTTCCCCCGCCTCACCCCCTCTCGCGGAAGCCCTGCCGCCAGGTGGTTGGCGGTGCCTCTCATGGCCAGCCATGCTGCCGGGGACAGCCCTTGAGACTGCTTGCCATGAGCATTCCTTCCTCTTCCTTCCACTCGTTCCGTTCCACCCTGCCCACCTTTTCTTCCCTGCCCCCCCCCCTGCTATCTTCCCCCCTTGTCCCGCCGTTTTTCCCTCTCGCTCAGCATGACGGGCACCGACTCTGCGGATTCCCAGACCGCCCAGCCACCCACCGCCACCGGACTGGAGGACCAGGCCCCAGCCGGGAAGCGCTCCCTCCGTGATGCCGGACTGGCGAGCGAGGAGGACACCGGCCTGTCGGCAGGGCCCACCACTGCCCCTGCCGCCGGCAGCAGCGACAGCAACAGTGACGATGACGATGACGATGATGATGACTTTGGCCCCTCGCTGAGCGTGGTGAAGCAGGCTCCCAAGCGCGTAAAGAGTATGTCCTGGCCCTTGCTGACCTAGCCCTCCCTTGCCGGCGACTGACCCTCTCTCCATCTCCCCGCTGGATTCGTCCTTCTGGCCCAAGCTCTTGCGCATGAGAATCTCTTCCTCGATGCCCTGCCCTCGGCACAGCTTTACGAGAAGAGCTACATGCACCGTGATGTGATTTCCTTCACCACTGTCACCTCGTGCGTCACTTGCCCAGACATGCCGACGGCTATGCCCCGCTTCTATCTTGGGGATTGCTGTCGACCTTCGGCCGCCATCGCCACCACCACCATCACCGCACCTCTCGGCCCCCCGGTCTTACCAATGCCCCCACCATCATCCTGACGGACCCCTCCCCCTCCCCCTCCCTCTCCCTCTCTCTTCCCCCCCTCCCTCTCGGCAGGAGCGACTTCGTTATCACCACCAGCAATGACGGAATTGTCAAGTTCTGGAAGAAGAACAAAATTGGCATTGAGTTTGTCAAGACCTTCCGTGCCCACCTCAGTGCGCATGCGTTTGCCGCCTGGTCATCTCGCCTTCCCCCCTCCCCCGTTCTGACCGTTTCTTCTTCTTCTTCTTCTTCTTTGTGGTTGCAGAGCCCATCACTGCGGTGGATGCTAGCCGTGATGGATCCCTCTTTGTGTCAGCTTCATCGGACAAATTTGTCAAGATCTTTGATGTGGTCAACTTCGGTGCGTGTGGCCGGGCTGCTCCACCGCCGGCCCCCTGCCATCCTCTCCTCCTGAAACCATGCTCCTGACCTTGCCCCGTTCTCTCCTCCCCCCCCCCCCCCCCCCCCCCCCC